GTGACCCCACACCTGACCCATGACCCCACCGCTGACCCCACCCCCTGGACCCATAACTTTACCCCTGACCCATGACCCCCACCCCTCACTTTACCCCTGACCCATGACCCCACCCCCTCACTTTACCCCTGACCCATGACCCCCACCCCTCACTCGACCCCTGACCCCACCCTCACTTGACCCCTGACCCCTGACCCCGCCCCTCACTTTTCCCGTGACCCCTGACGCCTGTCTTCACCTCTGACCCAATGACTACCTCTGACACGACATTACCTGTGACCTATTGACCCCACGACCTATTGACCCCCCCGTGGGGGGGGTGGTGCATTTGGTTGCCGCGTGCGGTCGCCATGGCGACGAATCAATCTTGGTCGCCATGACGACGGAGGAAGCTTGGTCACCATGGTGACGGAGGAAGCTCGGCGCTCGCTCCTGATTGGTTCGGTTTTGGTTCGGGAGCGAGGGGCCGGTCGCCCTGATTGGCTGAGAGGTTTTGATGATGTCATCGCCATGAAGCCCCTGCCCCAAAACCGAAGGGAGGGGGAGGGGCCGAGTTTATGATGACGTCACGAACACTCACCCACTCACCCACCCACTCACCCACTCACCCACCCACTCACCCACCCACTCACCGACTCACCCACTGACTCATCCATTCACCCATCCACTCACTCACCCATCCACTCACTCACCCATCCACTCACTCACTCACTCACCCGCTCACTCACCCGCTCACCCACCCACTCACCCAATCACCCACCCACTCACTCACTCACCCACCCACCCATCCATTCACCCATCCACTCACTCACCCACTCACCCACGCACTCACCCATCCGCTCACCCATCCACTCACATACTCACCCACTCACATACTCACCCACTCACTCACCCACCCACTCACCCACCCATCCACCCACTCATCCATTCACCCATCCACTCACCCACCACTCACCCATCCACTCATTCACCCACTCACCCTCCCACTCACCCACTCACCCATCTACTCACTCACCCATCCACCCACCCAACCACTCACTCACCCATCCACTCACCCATCCACTCACTCTCCCACCCACTCACTCACTCACCCACCCACTCACCCACCCACTCACTCACCCATCCACTCACCCACCCACTCACCCACCCACTCACCCACTGACTCATCCATTCACCCATCCACTCACCCACTCACTCACCCACTCACTCACCCACTCACTCACCCATTCACCCATCCACTCACTCACCCACTCACTCACCCACTCACCCGCTCACCCACCCACTCACCCATCCACTCACCCACCCACCCACTCACCACCCACCCACTGACTCACCCACCCATCCACCCACCCATCCAACCACCCATCCACCCATCCATTCACCCATCCACTCACTCACCCACTCACCCACGCACTCACCCACCCACTCACCCATCCGGTCACCCATCCACTCACATACTCACCCACTCACTCACCCACCCACTCACCCACCCATCCACCCACTCATCCATTCACCCAGCCACGCACCCACCCACTCACCCATCCACTCATTCACCCACTCACCCACCCACTCACCCATACACTCACCCACTCACCCATCTACTCACTCACCCATCCACTCACCCCATCCACTCACTCACCCACCCACTCACCCACCCACTCACCCACCCACTCACTCACCCCATCCACTCACCCACCCTCTCACCCACTCACTCACCCATCCACTCATTCACCCACCCACTCACCGACTCACCCATCCACTCACTCACCCACCCATTCACCCACTCACCCATACACTCACCCACTCACCCATCCACTCACTCACCCACCCACTCACTCACCCATCCACTCACTCACCTACCCTCTCACCCACTCACCCTCTCACCCTCTCACCCACTCACTCACCCACTCACTCACCCACTCACCCACCCACCTCACCCACTCACCCACCCACTCACCCATTCACCCACACTCACACGCCTACACAAAGACAAAGCTCCCCCAGGTAGCTCCACGCAGGCTGTAGGGGCAAGTGGCTGTCACACACAGACAAAGCTGTCCCAGGTAGCTCCACACACAAGGCCTGTAGGGGCAAGTGGATGTCACACACAGACAAAGCTCCCCCAGGTAGCCTCTAGCAGGGCTGTAAGGGCAAGTGCCTGTCACACACAGACAAAGCTCCCCCAGGTAGCCTCTAGCAGGGCTGTAAGGGCAAGTGCCTGTCACACACAGACAAAGCTCCCCCAGGTAGCCTCTAGCAGGGCTGTAAGGGCAAGTGCCTGTCACACACAGACAAAGCTCCCCCAGGTAGCCTCTAGCAGGGCTGTAAGGGCAAGTGCCTGTCACACACAGACAAAGCTCCCCCAGGTAGCCTCTAGCAGGGCTGTAAGGGCAAGTGCCTGTCACACACAGACAAAGCTCTCCCAGGTAGCATTAGCAGCGGTAGCGGCATCAGCAGCATCAGCATCATCAGTTGGTAGCATCATCATGAGCATCATCATCAGTAGTATCAGTAGTATCATCAGCATCATCATCGGCATCAGCAGCAAGCAGCATGATCATCAGCAGCAGCATCAGCAGCATAATCAGCATCATCGTCAGCAGCAGCATCAGCAGCATCTGCCGCAGCATCAGCAGCATCAGCAGCAGCATCATCAGCAGCATTATCAGCATCATCATCAGCATTATCAGCAGCATCAGCAGCAGCATCAGCAGTATCATCATCAGCAGCATTATCAGCATCAGCAGCATCAGCAGTATCATCATCAGCAGCATCATCAGCAGCATCAGCAGCGCTAACCGCTGCGCCACCGCTCCCCGGCGCGGTGCCAGGCTAGGTGCACGCGGTGCCAGGCTAGGTGCACGCGGTTGCCAGGCTCGGTGCAGCTGGTGCCAGGCTAGGTGCACGCGGTGCCAGGCTAGGTGCAGCTGGTGCCAGGCTAGGTGCAGCTGGTGCCAGGCTAGGTGCAGCTGGTGCCAGGCTAGGTGCACGCGGTGCCAGGCTAGGTGCACGCGGTGCCAGGCTCGGTGCAGCTGGTGCCAGGCTAGGTGCACGCGGTGCCAGGCTAGTGCAGCTGGTGCCAGGCTAGGTGCAGCTGGTGCCAGGCTAGGTGCAGCTGGTGCCAGGCTAGGTGTAGCTGGTGCCAGGCTCGGTGCAGCTGGTGCCAGGCTAGGTGCAGCTGGTGCCAGGCCAGGTGCAGCTTGTGCCAGGCTAGGTGCAGCTGGTGCCAGGCTAGGTGCAGCTTGTGCCAGGCTAGGTGCAGCTGGTGCCAGGCTAGGTGCAGCTGGTGCCAGGCTAGGTGCAGCTGGTGCCAGGCTATGTGCAGCTGGTGCCAGGCCAGGTGCAGCTTGTGCCAGGCTAGGTGCAGCTTGTGCCAGGCTAGGTGCAGCTGGTGCCAGGCTAGGTGCAGCTGGTGCCAGGCTAGGTGCAGCTTGTGCCAGGCTAGGTGCAGCTGGTGCCAGGCTAGGTGCAGCTGGTGCCAGGCTAGGTGCAGCTGGTGCCAGGCTAGGTGCAGCTGGTGCCAGGCTAGGTGCAGCTGGTGCCAGGCTAGGTGCACCTTGTGCCAGGCTAGGTGCACCTTGTGCCAGGCTAGGTGCAGCTTGTGCCAGGCTAGGTGCAGCTTGTACCAGGCTAGGTGCAGCTGGTGCCAGGCTATGTGCAGCTGGTGCCAGGCTAGGTGCAGCTGGTGCCAGGCTAGGTGCAGCTGGTGCCAGGCTAGGTGCAGCTGGTGCCAGGCCAGGTGCAGCTTGTACCAGGCTAGGTGCAGCTTGTGCCAGGCTATGTGCAGCTGGTGCCAGGCTAGGTGCAGCTGGTGCCAGGCTAGGTGCAGCTGGTGCCAGGCTAGGTGCAGCGGACACGGTGCGATGTGCGAGCGTTGGTTTTGTGTTTCTCTTTGATGCTGTGCGTCTCCTTCGGCTCAGTAAAGATCGCACTGCCTGCCTGTGTCACTCCACGTTCATGCGACGGGGCCGGATCCATCCGGAAGGCTGCACGACAACTTCCTCGTGCACCTAGCCTGGCACGGCTGTCAAGCCGTGGCACGTGCAGGGTCTGTCACGTGAGCTCCTCCTCATGCACCTAGCCTGGCACAGCAGTCAAACCCCGTGGCACCTGCAAGGTCTGTCACGTGACCTCCTCCTCCTGCACCTAGCCTGGCACAGCAGTCAACCCATGGCACGCGCAGGGTCTGTCACGTGACCTCCTCCACCTGCACCTAGCCTGGCACGGCAGTCAACCCATGGCACCTGCAGGGTCTGTCACGTGACCTTCTCCTCATGCACCTAGCCTGGCACAGCAGTCAATCCACGGCACCTGCTGGATCTGTCACGTGACCTCCTCCTCGTGCACCTAGCCTGGCACAGCAGTCAACCCATGGCACCTGCTGAGTCTGTCACGTGATCTCCTCATGCACCTAGCCTGGCACAGCAGTAAACCCATGGCACCTGCCTGGTCTGTCACGTGACCTCCTCCTCGTGCACCTAGCCTGGCACAGCAGTCAACCCATGGCACCTGTTGGGTCTGTAACGTGACCTCCTCCTTATGCACCTAGCCTGGCACAGCAGTCAACCCATGGCACCTGTTGGGTCTGTCACGTGACCTCATTCACCTAGCCTGGCACAGCAGTCAACCATGGCACCTGCTGGATCTGTCACGTGACCTCCTCCTCCTGCACCTAGCCTGGCACAGCAGTCAACCCCTGGCACCTGCTGGGTCTGTCACGTGACCTCCTCGTGCACCTAGCCTGGTACAGCAGTCAACCCACGGCACCTGCTGGGTCTGTCACGTGACCTCCTCCTCATGCACCTAGCCTGGCACAGCAGCCAACCCATGGCACCTGCTGGGTCTGTCACGTGACCTGCACCTAGCCTGGCACAGGAACCGTGGTGACGTCACCGCCACTTTGGTGGGGGTGGAGCCAAGAGGTAGGAGGGAGGCGGGGCCAGGAAGGGGGTGGGGGGAGAGAGGCGTGGCCAGGACGCGGGGGGGGGGGGGGGTGGGAGGCGCGTCATTACGCGCGCCACGTGACACCGCCGCCGTCCAATCAGGAGGCGGCGCGGTGCGGCCCAGGCCCCTCGCGAGGCCTCCCGACTTTCCTGACCGCCTGCGACCGGGTGGCGCGCGGGGTTTCGCCGTTCAAGCTCCGTCGTGGTCACCGCCCCCACCCCTACCCACACGCTCCGCCTGATGGTGGTGATCAGTCGGAGTCGGCAGACGAACTAAGGCGTCGCTTGTTTAGTTAAGGCGGTCAGTTGTGGTGAGGGTGGAGACAGAGACACGGGGAGACAGAGACACGTGGTGAGGGTGGTGGTGGTGGTGAGGGTGGTGGTGGTGGTGAAGGTGGTGAGGGTGGTGGTGGAGGGGGTGGGGGTGGTGGTGAAGGTGGTGAGGGTGGTGGTGAAGGTGGTGAGGGTGGTGGTGAAGGTGGTGAGGGTGGTGGTGAGGGTGGTGGTGGGGGTAGTGGTGGTGGTGAGGGTGGTGGTGAAGGTGGTGGTGGTGAGGGTGGTAGTGGTGAAGGTGGGGGTGGTGGTGAGGGTGGTGGTGGTGAAGGTGGTGATGTTGAGTAGTGCGCTAACTGCTGTGCCACCGCTCCCCGTGTCTCTGTCTCCACGTGTCTCACCGTGTCTCACTCTGTCTATGTGTCTCTGTCTCCCCGTGTCTCACCGTGTGTCTCTGTCTGTCTGTTGTCTCTGTCTCCCCGTGTGTCTCTGTCTCACTCTGTCTCTGTGTCTCTATCTCTCCCCGTGTCCTCTGTCTCCCCGTGTGTCTCTGTCTCCCCCCGTTGTCCCCCCGTGTCCTCCCTCCGTGTCTCCCCCCGTGTCTCCCCCCGTGTCTCCCCCCGTGTCCCCCCGTGTCTCCCCCCGTGTCTCCCTCCGTGTCTCCCCCCGTGTCTCTCCCGTGTCTCCCCCCGTGTCTCCCCGTGTCTCTCCCCGTGTCTCCCCCCGTGTCTCACCGTGTCTCACCGTGTCTCACCGTGTCTCACCGTGTCTCTGTCTCCCCGTGTCTCCCACCGTGTCTCCCCGTGTCTCACCGTGTCTCACCGTGTCTCTGTCTCCCCGTGTCTCCCACCGTGTCTCCCCGTGTCTCTGTCTCCCCCGTGTCTCCCCGTGTCTCCCCCGTGTCCTCTGTCTCCCCGTGTGTCTCTGTCCCCCCGTGTCTCTCTCTGTCCCCCCGTGTCTCTCCCCCAGCCATGCCGAGGCTGTGTGAGACTTGCGGTGAGCGCCGAGCCTCCCTTTGCCGCCCCAAGACGCGTCGCTTGTTTAGTTAAGGCGGTCAGCTGTGGTGAGGGTGGAGACAGAGACACGGGGAGACAGAGACACGTGGTGAGGGTGGAGACAGAGACACGTGGTGAGGGTGGAGGACAGAGACACGTGGTGAGGGTGGTGGTGAGGATTGTGAGGGTAGAGACAGAGACACGTGGAGACAGAGACACATGGTGAGGGTGGAGACAGACACGTGGAGACAGAGACACGTGGTGAGGGTGGTGGTGAGGATTGTGAGGGTGGTGGTGGTGGTGAGGGTGGTGGTGGTGTGGTGAGGGTGGTGGTGGTGGTGAGGGTGGTGGTGGTGGTGAGGATTGTGAGGGTGGAGACAGAGACACGTGGTGAGGGTGGTGGTGGTGAGTAGCGCGCTAACTGCTGTGCCACCACTCCCGTGTCTCCCCGTGTCTCTCTCTGTCTCCCCGTGTCTCTCTCTGTCTCCCCCCGTGTCTCTCTCTGTCTCCCCGTGTCTCTCTGTCTCCCCCCGTGTCTCTGTCCTCCCCGTGTCTCTCTCTCTGTCTCCCCGTGTCTCTCTCTGTCTCCCCGTGTCTCTCTCTGTCTCCCCCGTGTCTCTCTCTGTCCCCCCGTGTCTCTCTCTGTCTCCCCGTGTCTCCCCGTGTCTCTGTCTCCCCGTGTCTCCCGTGTCTCTGTCTCACCGTGTCTCCCCCCGTGTCTCCCCCCGGTGTCTCCCCCCGTGTCTCTCTCTGTCTCCCCCGTGTCTCCCGTGTCTCTCTCTGTCTCCCCGTGTCTCCCCGTGTCTCTCTCTCTGTCTCCCCGTGTCTCCCCGTGTCTCTGTCTCTCTCCCCCAGCCATGCCGAGGCTGTGTGAGACTTGCGGCGAGCGCCCGAGCCTCCCTTCGCCGCCCCAAGACGCGCCGCTTGTTTAGTTAAGGCGGTCAGCTGTGGTGAGGGTGGTGGTGAGGATTGTGAGGGTGGTGGTGAGGATTGTGAGGGTGGTGGTGGTGGTGGTGAGGGTGGTGGTGGTGGTGAGGATTGTGAGGGTGGTGAGGGTGGTGGTGAGGATTGTGAGGGTGGAGACAGAGACACGTGGTGAGGGTGGTGGTGGTGGTGGTGAGTCGTGCGCTAACTGCTGTGCCACCACTCCCCGTGTCTCTCTCTGTCTCACCGTGTCTCTCTCTGTCTCCCCCCGTGTCTCCCCGTGTCTCCCCCCGTGTCTCCCCGTGTCTCTCTCTGTCTCCCCCGTGTTCTCTCTCTGTCTCCCCCCGTGTCTCCCCGGTGTCTCTCTCTGTCTCCCGTGTCTCTCTCTGTCTCCCCGTGTCTCCCCCCGTGTCTCCCCCAGCCATGCCGAGGCTGTGTGAGACTTGCGGCGAGCGCCGAGCCTCCCTTTGCCGCCCCAAGACGCGTCGCTTGTTTAGTTAAGGCGGTCAGCTGTGGTGAGGGTGGTGGTGAGGATTGTGAGGGTGGTGGTGGTGAGGGTGGTGGTGGTGAGTGTGGTTGGTGGTGAGGGTGGTGGTGGTGGTGAGGGTGGTGGTGAGGATTGTGAGGGTGGAGACAGAGACACGTGATGAGGGTGGTGGTGGTGAGTAGCGCGCTAACTGCTGTGCCACCACTTCCCCGTGTCTCTGTCTCCCCGTGTCTCTCTCTGTCTCTCCCCGTGTCTCTCCCCGTGTCTCCCCGTGTCTCTCTCTGTCTCTCCCCGTGTCTCTCTCTGTCTCTCCCCGTGTCTCTCTCTGTCTCCCCCCGTGTCTCTCTGTCTCTCCCCGTGTCTCCCCGTGTCTCTCTCTGTCTCTCCCCGTGTCTCTCTCTGTCTCTCCCCGTGTCTCTGTCTCCCCGTGTCTCTTTCTGTCTCCCCCCGTGTCTCTCTCTGTCTCCCCCCGTGTCTCTCTCTGTCTCCCCGTGTCTCTCTCTGTCTCCCCCCGTGTCTCTCTGTCTCTCCCCGTGTCTCTCCGTGTCTCTCTCTGTCTCCCCGTGTCTCTCTCTGTCTCCCCCCGTGTCTCTCTCTGTCTCCCCGTGTCTCCCCGTGTCTCTCTCTCTCTGTCTCCCCAGCCATGCCGAGGCTGTGTGAGACTTGCGGCGAGCGCCGAGCCTCCCTTTGCCGGCCCCAAGACGCGTCGCTTGTTTAGTTAAGGTGGTCAGCTGTGGTGAGGGTGGAGACAGAGACACGTGGTGAGGGTGGAGACAGAGACACGTGGTGAGGGTGGAGACAGAGACACGTGGTGAGGGTGGTGGTGAGGATTGTGAGGGTGGTGGTGGTGGTGAGGGTGGTGAGGGTGGTGGTGGTGGTGGTGAGGGTGGAGACAGAGACACGTGGTGGTGGGTGGTGGTGGTGAGTAGCGCGCTAACTGCTGTACCACCACTCCCCGTGTCTTCCCCCCCGTGTCTCCCCGTGTCTCTCTCTGTCCCCCCGTGTCTCTCTCTGTCTCCCCCCGTGTCTCCCCGTGTCTCTCTCTGTCTCCCCCCGTGTCTCTCTCTGTCTCCCCCCGTGTCTCCCCGTGTCTCCCCGTGTCTCTCTCTGTCTCCCCGTGTCTCTCTCTGTCCCCCCGTGTCTCTCTCTCTGTCTCCCCGTGTCTCTCTCTGTCTCCCCGTGTCTCCCCGTGTCTCTCTCTGTCTCCCCGTGTCTCCCCGTGTCTCTCTCTCTGTCTCCCCAGCCATGCCGAGGCTGTGTGAGACTTGCGGCGAGCGCCGAGCCTCCCTTTGCCGGCCCAAGACGCGCCGCTTGTTTAGTTAAGGTGGTCAGCTGTGGTGAGGGTGGTGGTGGTGAGGGTGGTGGTGGTGGTGAGGATTGTGAGGGTGGTGGTGAGGGTGGTGGTGGTGAGGGTGGTGGTGGTGGTGAGGATTGTGAGGGTGGTGGTGAGGATTGTGAGGGTGGAGACAGAGACACGTGGTGAGGGTGGTGGTGGTGAGGAGGGTGGTGTTGGTGGTGGTGGTGAGTAGCGCGCTAACTGCTGTGCCACCACTCCCCGTGTCTCTGTCTCCCCCCGTGTCTCCCGTGTCTCTGTCTCCCCCCGTGTCTCCCCGTGTCTCTGTCTCCCCCCGTGTCTCCCCGTGTCTCTGTCTCCCCCCGTGTCTCTCTCTGTCTCCCCCCGTGTCTCTCTCTGTCTCCCCCCGTGTCTCTGTCTCCCCCCGTGTCTCCCCGTGTCTCCCCCCGTGTCTCCCCGTGTCTCCCCGTCTCTCTCTCTCTGTCTCCCCCCCGTGTCTCCGCGTGTCTCCCCGTGTCTCCCCGTGTCTCCCCGTGTCTCTCTCTGTCTCCCCCCGTGTGTCTCCCCGTGTCTCCCCGTGTCTCTCTCTCTGTCTCCCCGTGTCTCCCCGTGTCTCTCTCTGTCTCCCCGTGTCTCCCCGTGTCTCTCTCTCTGTCTCCCCGTGTCTCCCCGTGTCTCTGTCTCTCTCCCCAGCCATGCCGAGGCTGTGTGAGACTTGCGGCGAGCGCCGAGCCTCCCTTTGCCGCCCCAAGACGCGTCGCTGCGTCTGCCGCCGCTGCTTCTCGGCCCTGCTGGAGGAGGAAGTTCACAGCCACGTCACCGCCTCTCGCCTCTTCAGGCCCGGCATCACCGTCGCGCTGGGAGCCTCGGGGGGGAAAGACTCCACCGTGTTGGCCTACATCTTGAAGGTGGGGGGGGGAGGTGGTGGGGGGGGGGGGGTGGTGGGGGGTGGTGGGTGGGGGGGGTGGTGGTGGGGGGGTGAAGACTCCAAATCACCACTCACTCACCTACTCACACACCCACTCACTCACCCACCCACTCACACACTCACTGTCACAACCACCTACTCACCCACTCACTCACCTACTCACACATCCACCCACCCACTCACTCACCCACCCACTCACTCACCTACTCACCCACCCACTCACCCACCCACCTACTCACCCACTCACCCCACCCACCCACTCACCCACCCACCTACTCACCCACTCACACACCCACCCACTCACTCACCCCCACCACTCACCCACCCACCTACTCACCCACCCACCCACCTACTCACCCACTCACATCCACCCACCCACTCACTCACCCACTCACTCACCCACTCACCCACTCACTCACCCACCACCCTACTCACCCACCCACTCACCCACCCACCTACTCACCCACTCACTCACCCACTCACCTACTCACACATCCACCCACCCACTCACTCACTCACCCACTCACTCACTCACTCACCCACTCACTCACTCACCCACTCACACCCCACTCACTCACTCACCTACTCACCCACTCACTCACCCACTCACTCACTCACCACCCACCTACTCACTCACCTACTCACACGCTCACTCATCCACTCACTCACCCACTCACTCACCCACTCACTCACCCACTCACTCACCCACTCACTCACCCACCCACCTACTCACCCACCTACTCACCCACTCACTCACCCACTCACCTACTCACACATCCACCCACCCACTCACTCACCTACTCACACACCCACTCACTCACTCACCTACTCACTCACTCACCTACTCACACACCCACTCACCCACTCACTCACTCACCCACCACCTACTCACCCACTCACTCACACACCCACCCACTCACCCACCCACCTACTCACCCACTCACTCACCCACTCACCCACTCACACACTCACCCACTCACCCACTCACCCACACCCATTCACTCACCCACCTACTCACCCACCACCTACTCACCCACTCACTCACCCACTCACCCACTCACACACCCGCTCACCCACTCACCCACCCACACACTCACCCACACACTCACCCACCCACTCACCCACCCACCCTTCCACTCACCTCACCCACCACTCACCCACCCACTACTCACCCACCCACTCACCCACCCACTCACCCACTCCTCACTCACCCACCCACCTACTCACCCACCCATTCACCCACCCACCTACTCACCCACCCATTCACCCACCCACCTACTCACCCACCCATTCACCCACCCACCCACCCTTCCACTCACTCACCCACCCACCCACCTTCCACTCACTCACCCACCCACCCTTCCACTCACCCACCCACTCACCCACTCCTCACTCACCCACCCACTCACCCACTCACTCACTCACCCACCCACCCTTCCACTGACTCACCCACCCACCCACCCTTCACTCACTCACCCACCCACCCACCCTTCCACTCACCCACCCACCCACCCTTCCACTCACCCCACCCACTCACCCACTCCTCACTCACCCACCCACCCACTCACTCACCCACTCACCCACTCACTCACCCACCCACTCACCCACTCACTCACCCACCCACTCACCCACTCACCCACTCACTCACCCACTCACCCACCCACTCACCCACTCACCCACTCACTCACTCACCCACACACTCGCCACCCACCCACTCACCCACCCACCCACCCACTCTCCCACCCACCTACTCACCCACCCACTCACTCACTCACCCACTCACTCACCCACCCACCCACTCACCCACCCACCCACTCACTCACCCACCCACTCACTCACCCACTCACCCACTCACTCACCCACCCACTCACCCACTCACTCACTCACCCACCCACTCACTCACTCACCCACTCACTCACTCACCCACTCACTCACTCACCCACCCACCCACCCACTCACCCACCCACTCCACCCACCCACTCACCCACCCACCCACACACCCACCCACCCACTCACTCAACCACTCACCCACCCACCCACCCACTCACACACCCACCCACCCACCCACCTCACACACCCACCCTTTCACTCACTCACCCACCCACCCTTCCACTCACTTACCCACCCACCCACTCACCCACCCACCCTTCCACTCACCCACCCAACCACCCTTCCCACTCACGACCCTGCCTCCCCGGGTTACCGTGACGACCCTGCCTCCCCGGTTACCGTGACGACCCTGCCTCCCCCGGTTACCGTGACGACCCCTGCCTCCCCGGGTTACCGTGACGACCCTGCCTCCCCCGGTTACCGTGACTGACCCTGCCTCTCCCCGGTTACCGTGACGACCCTGCCTCTCCCCGGTTACCGTGACGACCCTGCCTCCCCTCCGCCAGTTGCTGAACGATCGCCACGGTTACGGCCTCAAGCTGGTGCTGCTCTCTGTGGACGAGGGTATCGCCGGTTACCGTGACGACTCCCTGGCAACGGTGAAGCGTAACCAGGCGGCGTACTCCCTGCCGCTGACTGTCGTGTCGTACGAGCATCTCTACGGCTGGACCATGGACCAAGTGGTGCAGCAGGCCAGTACACTACCACTACTACTATCACTACTACTACTACACTACCACTATCACTACTATCACTACTACTACTACACTACTACTACTACTACACTACTATCACTACTACTACTACCACTACACTACTACTATCACTACTACACTACTACTACACTCACTACTACACTAATACTACACTACTACTACTACACTACTACTACACTCACTACTACTACACTACTACTACACTACTACTACACTACTACACTACTACTACTACTACACTACTACTACTACACTACTACTACACTACTACTACTGCTGTCGTGTCGTACGAGCATCTCTACGGCTGGACCATGGACCAAGTGGTTGCAGCAGGCCAGTTCACTACCACTACTATCACTACTATCACTATTACTATTATTACACTACTACACTACTACTACTGTTGTGTCGTACGAGCATCTCTACGGCTGGACCATGGACCAAGTGGTGCAGCAGGCCAGTTCACTACCACTACCACTACTATCACTATTACTACTACTACACTACTATCACTACTACTATTACTACTACACTACTACTACTACACTACTACTACACTACTACTACTACACTACTACAACTACTACACTACTACTACACTACTACTACACTACTACTACACTACTACTACTACTGTCGTGTCGTACGAGCATCTCTACGGCTGGACCATGGACCAAGTGGTGCAGCAGGCCAGTTCACTACCACTACTACTATCACTATTACTATCACTATTACTATCACTATTATTACTACACTACTACTACACTACTACTACACTACTACTACACTACTACAACTACTGTCGTGTCGTACGAGCATCTCTACGGCTGGACCATGGACCAAGTGGTGCAGCAGGCCAGTACACTACCACTATATCACTACTACTATCACTATACTATTATCACTACTACTATCACTATTACTACTACACTACTACTACTACTACACACTACTACTACACTACTACTACACTACTACTACTACTGTCGTGTCGTACGAGCATCTCTACGGCTGGACCATGGACCAAGTGGTGCAGCAGGCCAGTTTCACTACCACTACTATCACTATTATCACTATTACTATCACTACTATCACTACCACTATTATTATTACACTACTACTACACCACTACTACTACACTACTACTGTTGTGTTGTACGAGCATCTCTACGGCTGGACCATGGACCAAGTGGTGCAGCAGGCCAGTACACTACAACTACAACTACTATTATCACTATTACTACACTACTACTACCACTACAACTACTACACTACTACTACACTACTACTACTACACTACTACTACTACACTACTACTACACTACTACTATTACACTACTACTACACTACTACTACTACTACAACTACACTACTACTACACTACTACTACACTACTACTACTACACTACTACTACACTACTACTACTACTACACTACTACTACACTACTACTACTACTGTCGTGTTGTACGAGCATCTCTACGGCTGGACCATGGACCAAGTGGTGCAGCAGGCCAGTACACTACTACCACTACTATCACTATTACTATCACTATTATTATTACACTACTACTACACTACAACTACTACACTACTACTACTACACTACTACCTACTACACTACTACTACTACTGTCGTGTTGTACGAGCATCTCTACGGCTGGACCATGGACCAAGTGGTGCAGCAGGCCAGTTCACTACTACCACTACTACTATCACTACTATTACTACTACTACAACTATTATTACTACTACTATCACTACAAATACTACTACCACTATCACTACAACTACAACTATCACTACTATTACTACTACTACAACTACTGCAACTATTATTACTACTACTATCACTACTACCACTACTATCACTACTATCACTATTACTACTACTACTATCACTACTATCACTATTACTATCACTATTACTACACTACTACTACTATCACTATTATTATTACACTACTACTACACTACTACTACTACACTACTACTACTACACTACTACACTACTACTACTACACTACTACTACTACACTACTACTACTACACTACTACTACTACACTACTACTACACTACTACTACACTACTACTACACTACTACTACTACAACTACTACTACACTACTACTACACTACTACTACACTACTACTACTACACTACTACTACAACTACTACAACTACTACTACACTACTACTACAACTGTCGTGTCGTACGAGCATCTCTACGGCTGGACCATGGACCAAGTGGTGCAGCAGGCCAGTACACTACTATCACTACTATCACTATTACACTACTACTATCACTACTATCACTACCACTACTATTACTACAATTACTATTACTACTACACTACTACTACTACACTACTACCACTATCACTACTACTACTACACTACTACTACACTACTACTACACTACTACTACAACTACTACTACACTACTACTACTACACTACTACTACTACACTACTACTACTACACTGCTACACACTACTACTACTACACTACTACACTACTACTACTACACTACTACCACTATCACTACTACTACTACACTACTACTACACTACTACTACTACACTACTACTACAACTACTACACTACTACTACACTACTACTACAACTACTACAACTACTACTACACTACTACTACAACTACACTACTACTACACTACTACTACAACTGTCGTGTCGTACGAGCATCTCTACGGCTGGACCATGGACCAAGTGGTGCAGCAGGCCAGTTCACTACCACTACTACTATTACTACTATTACACTACTACACTACTATCACTACCACTATTACTACTATCACTACTACTACGAGCATCTCTACGGCTGGACCATGGACCAAGTGGTGCAGCAGGCCAGTACACTACCACTACTACTATCACTATTACTACTATCACTATTACTACCACTACTATTACTACTATTACTACACTATCACTACTATCACTACAACTACTACAACACTACTACTACCACTACTACTACAATTACTACACTACTATTACTATTACACTACTACTATCACTACTATCATTACTATCACTACAACTACTACACTACTACTATCACTATTACTACTACCACTACTACTACACTACTACTATCACTATTACTACTACACTACTACTACACTACTACTACTACTGTCGTGTTGTACGAGCATCTCTACGGCTGGACCATGGACCAAGTGGTGCAGCAGGCCAGTACACTACCACTACTATCACTACTATCACTACTACTACTATTACTACTATTACTACCACTACCACTACTACAACTACTATCACTACTATCACTACTACTATCACTACTACTACACTACTACCACTACTACTACACTACTACTACTACACTACTACTACACTACTACTACACTACTACTACTACACTACTACTACTACACTACTACTACACTACTACTACTACACTACTACTACTACACTACTACTACACTACTACTACACTACTACTACTACACTACTACTACACTACTACTACTACACTACTACTACACTACTACTACTACACACTACACTACTACACACTACACTACTACACTACACACTACACTACTACTACACACTACTATCACTACTACAACTACTACACTACTACTACTACACTACTACTACTACACTACTACTACTACTGTCGTGTTGTACGAGCATCTCTACGGCTGGACCATGGACCAAGTGGTGCAGCAGGCCAGTTCACTACTATCACTACTACCACTATTACTACACTACTATTACTATCACTATTATTATTACACTACTACTACACTACTACTACACTACACACTACACTACTACACACTACACTACACACTACACTACTACTACAACTACACTACTACTACACTACTACTACTACTGTCGTGTCGTACGAGCATCTCTACGGCTGGACCATGGACCAAGTGGTGCAGCAGGCCAGTACACTACCACTACTACTATCACTATTACTACTATTACACTACTACTATTACTACTATCACTATTACTACTATTACACTACTACTACCACTACTATCACTATTACTACTATCACTATTACTACCACTACTATTACTACTATTACTACACTATCACTACTATCACTACAACTACTACAACACTACTACTACCACTACTACTACAATTACTACACTACTATTACTATTACACTACTACTATCACTACTATCATTACTATCACTACAACTACTACACTACTACTATCACTATTACTACTACCACTACTACTACACTACTACTATCACTATTACTACTACACTACTACTACACTACAACTACTACAACACTACTACTACAAGCATCTCTACGGCTGGACCATGGACCAAGTGGTGCAGCAGGCCAGTACACTACCACTACTATCACTATTATCACTATTACTATCACTACTATCACTACCACTATTATTATTACACTACTACTACTACACTACTACTACTACTACACTACTACTACACTACTACTACTACTACACTACTACTACACTACTACTACACTACTACTACTACACTACTACTACACTACTACTACACACTACACTACTACTACTACACTACTACTACACTACTACTACTACTATCACTACAACTACAACACTACTACTACGAGCATCTCTACGGCTGGACCATGGACCAAGTGGTGCAGCAGGCCAGTTCACTACCACTACACTACTACTATCACTACTACTACTATTACTACTACTACACTACTACTATCACTACTATCACTATTACTACTATTACACTACTACTATTACTACTATCACTATTACTACTATCACTACTATTACTATCACTACTACTATTACACTACTACTACTACACTACTACTACACAACTACTACACTACTACTACACTACTACTACACTACTACTACACTACTACTACTACTGTCGTGTCGTACGAGCATCTCTACGGCCTGGACCATGGACCAAGTGGTGCAGCAGGCCA